CGGGGAGACAGGCGCCCTCCGTCCCCTCATCGGTGGGCCTGGGCAACAGCTGCTGCGCGAGGCTGCCCTGGGGCCCGGGGGGCCTCTTCCCCAGCCACAGCAGGGCCCTGTGACGCCTACTGGGGGCGGAGGGCACCCTCTAGGGAACTTCATGAGAAGCAGTTTCACACAGGGAGCACTTGCTCTTGGACGAGTTAAGAAATGCCTCCTAGCCCAGGCTGGTGTGGCTCAGTGGACTGAGCACTGGCCTGGGAACCACAGGGTCGCTGGTTCGATTCCCAGTCAGGGCACAGGCCTGGGGTGCTGCTCCAGTCCAGCCCAGGGCACGTGGGAGGCCACGGGTCAACGCTTCTCGCCCGCACATGCTCACCTCTCCCCACTCCGCTCTCTAGACGTAAGGAGAACCGTCCTCGGGTGAGGATCAAAGACAAGACAGATGCTGGCGGATTTCTAGAACTTAAGCAAGTCCATCCAAACTAAACGGTTCAGTTTCATTTATAACTAAATTGTTACTTCAGTTCAGGTTTCGTCACCCTTTCTTTTAGCAACACGTAACTGAATTCCCACTTGAAAAAATAACATTCACCACATTTACAGCTCTCAGCACCAGGCCCTGCAGTGGTAGCTGGACCGGCACCAAAGTGCCAGGGGGGGGGGGTGGCCCAGCCCCATGCGGGCGGGGGAGGGGCGGGCTGGCAGCACGGAACTGCCTGTCGCCAGTCACCTCAGACGCTCCAGTCCAACTCGGGAGCCTGGACCGGGCCGCCCACCTGAAGGCCAGCACCTGCAGTGCCACTAACCCTTCCCCAGCGAAGGGGGTGCAAGCCGGGCGGTGGCCCTCCGCACCCCTGCACGGGTGTCTGCGGAGCCCCGGCACTCGGCTCCCGGCCCTGTGCAGGGTCGGCGTAGGACAGGAGTTTGGGTTCCGCCGGGGTCACCACGCCACCTTTCCCCTCCACGGGCCAGGAGGCTCTAAGAAAGAGGCCCGCCCTCTGGAGATAGCCAGGGCGGGGCACAGCTGATCGGTGGCATTCCGATCCTCTGACTCCCAGGCTGCGACTTTGTAACCCTCTGGCACGGGAGGTCTGGGACACAGCAGGGGAGACGCCGACCACCGCCGCACATTTTCTCCCGGAAACCCCCGCGGGCGGCTGCTGGCGGCACACGGGCTGAGCAGGACAGTCGGAAGGACAATGAAATTACCAATAGCCCCCGATGACCGGCGACCCTCATCCACACACATCCACGGAACCACCCCCACCACTGGCCAGGGGTCACGCAGTTTAAAAACACCACCGGGGTCAGCAGACAGAACCGGTTTTAGGAGCCGTGTCTGCGGACACGTGCACGGCGGCTTTGGGAGCAGGTGGGCTGTTCCTGCCCACGGGCCGGCCCGCCCAGGGAAGCCGGGTGTGGTGCCGCTTCCAGGGCCGCCGCCCAGCACTTCCCTCTTCAGAGCAGGGTGCAAGCTCCGAAGTTCCAGTGCTGACTCCCAGCAGGTCTGCAAAACTCCCGGGGTCCGGAACAACTCTGTCTGCCGAAGACCCGAGTCTATTCCTGGGCAGTGCCAGGAGCTGAGGCAGAACTCAAGCAGACCAAGAGTGAGTGGGGAGAGCAAGGACAGACGAAACCTCGGCGGAGGGCGGTCTGGCAACTAATCCTGAAATCCTCGGGGTGGCCGCTCAGCGAGGCGGCGCTAATCCCCTTCGGGGAGGTCACTGCCCGAGGGCCGCCCGGGGCGGGGGTGGGGGGCCAGGGCAGCCCCCTCCCGGCAGACTCGGCGCCCTCGCTCTTCAGCGTCCGCCCGCCCGCCTGCCCACCCACCGCTCCCCACATGCCCCCACCCCGACTGCAGGCGGGCACGCGCCCCAGCCTCATCTGGGGGCGGGCGTCGGGAGCTGAGAGTCTCCCCCTGGAAACCTGCTGCCGTCTGCAGCCCAGAGGAGGTCTGCCCACCGCAGGGCACACGTCGTGCCCTGCTGTGACGCCGGGGCTCCGAGCCAGGGATCGGCGGTGCACTGTCTGTGCCCCCGATATTCCGAAAAAGCCACCCGGGAGACCAGCAGACGCGTGCCTGCCGGTTCTGCCCACTCTGGGGAAGTGCACTGCGCAGGAGGGCGCCGACCCACGCAGAGGCCACTTGAGGGAGAGTCCAGGAAGTTCCCACGGGCCACTGTACCTGCGTGCGTCTTGCTCATCCTACCCCCCGACTTTAGAAGCAAACTCCCACTTCAGGTAAAATTCTGCTGCATCTTGACCCCCAGCCTCACTGCACTGTAGCCGTCCACTCAGCAAACTCCTGCACCTGGGGCAGCGTGAGCCCTCCACGCCGGGGCTCCACAGGCGTGCCCTGAGCGGCGGCCGTGGGACTCTGAGGGGGCAGGACAGGACGGGGCCCGGTCGGGGGGTGGGCGAGCGCCGGCGTACAGGGCACACGCGCCTGAGCACGCAACCCCCACTCTCTGCACTCAGGGGACTCGGGGCGGCACCGGCTGAGAAACGCTCAGCCCCCGCAGACCCACAGAGTCGCCTCAGAGACACCACCAAGCCCCCCGAGAGCCAGCATGGGCGCCGGGTGCCCGTGTGGCCACGCCTCCAGGGCCCCCCCCCCGGCCCCGAAGCCGTCCTAGCGCCCATCTCGGCAGCACCTCAGGACCAGCTCGCTCCACGAGGCTCCTCCACCTGCCACCCCGCTCACCCCGCTCCACCCACGGGCGTCACAGAGTACGTGGAGACGAGCATGTGGGCTTGGGGTGTTTTTCGGGGGGAGGGCTGGTAACCAAAGACAACATTTCTAAACGCATTACCAACGGCACATCTGATTTTGAAACCTTTTCATTTTGAAAGAATTACAGAAGTTGCAACGAGGTGCATGGAGCAGTCCCCAGCACCTCCCTGACCTGCCTCACCGCAGGCCCAAAGGGCAGGCATCTGCCACGGACCTCCCCCGTAGCCCAGGACCCCCGGCTCCGCCCACACCCACCGTCACGGCCCAGCAACAAGGTCATCGTGCCCATCACACAGCTGTCGGTCACCAGGCTACACGTTCATTCACTCGACGAGCATGTCCTGGGTGTGCACCAGCAATCAGTGTCCGCCCCACGCGGTCTCCCCGGGGACCCACCGCCCAGGGGGACGCTGAGTGTGACAGACCCGGCCTAGTTGCCGGGAGAACGGCAGCCTGGCGGGGGGTCCAGGCGGCCCTGGCCCCAGGGAGCATGAGTGGGAGGAAGCTGAGTGGGCCGGGCAGACCTGCGCCCAGAGCACGGGGACCAGCACGGAGGCCCACGGGGCTGCCGGGGACTGACAGGTCCCGGAGTGAGGGGCAGGGGGCCTGGCAGGCACCCTCTCCAAGGGTCCCCACCCAGAGGCCACAGGGGCGCCCCCACAGGGCCCCTCAGCAGGGCTCAGCCTCCTCCACACAGCCCCATGCTCGGGCCGCGGGGACCTGTAACACGCCTCTCCCTCCGAGTCCTGCACCGGTCACCACGCCATCTACAGTGACGGGGGTGGGGTGGGGGGGTGGGGTGGGGGGGTGGGCGCCAGAGCCATCTGCATCGCCCAAGCAGCAGGCCGGCCCGCAGGCCAGGGCCGCCCTACAGACCTTGGCATGGCCCCCAGCGCCCGGACCCCAGGACCACGCGCTGGGGCCCCGAAGCTCCCGGAAGCCCAGGCGGGGACACATCACTCGGCCCCAAAACTCACCGAAACCTGTACCGAGGGAGAAGCCAGTGAACGAACTTAAAACCTTAACGCGGCCACGGCAACAGATGGGGCGATTTTTACTTGAGGTTCTCGCCTTCCGGATAGTTTTTAAGCACGCAACTAAGCGGGGACGGCGGTGCCTGCCAATTCAGACAGGGCACCGCCGAGGCGACGAGCCGCTGGTCAGAAAGTCCCCGGTCAGGCCTAACCCCGAAAGAAGAAATAAAACCAGGACTTTTGCTTCCTTTCTCTATATGACACGACCGGGCGAATTTCGAGAAATCCTCTTAGGCAACGAAACCGGGAGTCCTTAATCCAGACCTAACACACAAGTTAGAAGCGAAACAGGCACCGCCGCGCAGGAAGGCAGACCCTCCCGTCGGTCACGGGGACGGTGGGGGTGGGGAGCCCGCGCGCGCGCGCCCGACCCGGCGGCACCGGGACGGACCAGGAAGCCCGAGACCCCCGGGCGCGGCCCCACCCGCGTGCGGGGGCCCGCCCGCCGCGCCCTGCAGGGCCAACCCGACAGACGCACGCGTGGGGCCGGGGCCGTGCGGAAGGCGCACCTACCAGCCCGCCAGGGGGTTGCTCCGCCGCAGGGGCCTCTCCCGGCAGCAGCGTCCGCCGGTCCGGCGGCCAACGCCGCCGCCGCCGCGGCCGCGGGCCTCCACGGAGCCCCGCCCCCGCCCACCCCGCGTCCCGGCCCCGAGGGAGGGTCGCCGCCATTTCCGGCTGCGGCGCACCGCCCCCTGTCTCGAGGCCCCGCGCACCCTGAGGACCCCTGGCCCCGAGGCGTCCAGCACATACCGCCGCCCCCTCGCCCCGCCGCCCGCCCCGGCCTGACGGGAGGCCCACTGGGCCCGCCGCGAGCTCACCTGTCCGCGCGCCTGCCCGCCCGCCCGCCCGCCGGCTCCGCGGCTCCGCTGCGCGATGCTCGTGGGCAGCCGGCCGACGCTCCTCAGCCAGGCAGCGCCTCGGAGACCCCGGGCAGAAGTGGTGGCGGCGGCGGTAGCGGGGGCAGCGGCAGAGGGCGCGGGAGCAGAACCGGCAGAAGCGGCGGGGGCACGCACGCTCGTGCACGCTCACGCACCCGCACCGGCGCGCGCGCCCCCGGAAGGACGTGGGCCCTGCCGGTTCCTAGCCGTGGGCGGGGCCAACTGCGCGTGCGCCCAGAGCACCGGGCAGAGGCCCCGCCCCCCAGGGCGGGGTCCCAAGTGACAGCCGGTGGGCGGGTCTCCGGAGCTGTGGGCGGAGCTGGCCCCGCGGAGCCGGAAGCGCGGGCCGCCAGGCCTTACCTTGGGTGTTCTCGGGTGGGCCGGCCGGCGCTGCGGCGAGCCGCCCGGAGAGGTGCGGGGACTTGTCCTGACCTGAGCTTGCTCGGCGCTTTACGTAAGATGGAGGAAACGTAACTGTTCTCGTCAAAGGACGGGAGACGAACCGGGTCGGCGATGAGCCGGAGGCCGACTGCGCTCCCCAGCTGCGGTGGCGCTGACGCTTGCTCACCTCCGGAACTTCCTTTCTGCCTGATGAGCCACCCCAGTGCCCCTGCCGGCGTCCAGCCGACCTCCCCGGCCCTCCCACACACGGTGGCGCGGGAGGGCGGAGCAGCTTCCACTCACGTCCCTCTCTGCCCGGGCGGGGCCCACCCCCCCCACCTTAGGGACCCGAGGGAGGGAAGCCCTCGCCGCCCTTCCCCTATCTAGACTCCCTGTGAGTGTAGCAGCCCCACGGTTTATTGCCTGCCAGCAATTGCGCTCTGCCCCGTCTACCTCCGCCGGCTTCTTCCTTCCACCTTTTGCCACCGCGCTGTTCCCTTAAACCGTCTGGTCGGTCCCAGGCTCAGGGCCTGTAAGGGGCAGAGAGCTCGGGAAGTCTCCTGGCAGTTGTCACCTCGTGCAACGTCAAGCCGGCAGCAAGAAAAGGCAGGCTGATAGCTATGTCTCCTGACCCAAGAGGACGAGAGGTTTGGGGCCAGAATCATAGAACGGAGAAGACGAAACGGACCTGGCACCCGTTTCAGATTGCACTGGGCTGGGAGCAGCAAGAACGGATGCACCGGGCCTTACTGAGCCCCTCCCTGACCCAGCAGTTCCATGCAGTCACATTCTTCCTAGAAACCCATTCCCTGGAAACAGAAAAAGGCATGTGCACTGGGCTGCTCTTGAGGGTTTATTGGAACAGTGAGAAGGGACACAGGCCTGCTGCACACGGACACCCACGGACAGAAAGGCTACGTGGTAACAAATGCTTGTGATGCCTCTGGAAGATGAGCAGCGCAAGATGCATGCCCCGTGAAAAGTGCATCACCACAAGTGTTCATAAACACACAAGCCAACCTGTTCAGAGGAAGTCTCAGGAAGGACGTCGGTGAGATGTGGACAGCAGCAGGTGCAGCCAGGTCCTGGACCTCACATGCCCTATCGGGTGAGGCGGGCCGCCCTCCAAAGCCGGCCCAGCAGTGCCGTCCCCACCACTCTCGCCAGCTCCTCCCACACACGCGTCATCTGGGGAAACACCGAGTCCCACCCAAAACGCTGCAGGGCAAGGCCCTTGAGGGTCGGGCTCCACCCTCGGAGCCAGCTCACTCTGGCACTGTCCCACGCGGGCTCTTTGCGGCCATGGGAGGTCGCCACCCTTCCTTGCTGGGACGTCTGGGCCGAGCCTGGCTCTCTGGCCCAGGAGGAGGAGCGAGGCTCCCAGCGAGGGGGTTTCCTGCCGTAAACCCAGGATGCTGGGAACGGGCAGGTGCGCCACGCAGGCAGCAAGAGGAGGCTCCTGGACACGGGCCCAAGGGGTGGGTGCAGGTAGCACCTCTGGGCGTGGCGGTGACACTGCGGCATCTTTGGCGCAGAGAAGGAAATGCGAATCCACATTCCTGTGTGCTTCTGCACGAAGACACACTGTAGTAAAGACACCCTGGCTGCCGTGGACTGAGTGCCGGCCTGCAAGCCAGAGGGTCTGCGGTGCAACTCCCAGTCAGGGCACATGCCTGGGTCCCCAGTCGGGGCTGCAGAAGAGGCAACCACACATTGATGTTTCTCTCACTTTTTTCCCCTCCTCTCCACTCTCTAAAAATAAATAAAATCTTCAAAAAATACTGCACCCAAATATTTGATTAACGAGTAGCAGCCACAGCAGCTGGGTGGGAGCAGTCAGGAGATCACACAGGTTTCTGAGAATGCCCTGTTGTAACTGAGTCCTGTAGACAGAGGACCTTGGAAACTGAACAGAAGGGGACTAAAAGTAATGTAAAAAAAAAACCACAAAGATTAGAAAGAAAACCTAACTGAGCCCCTGCTGGAGGAAGGCCCGCCATGGGGCTGCTCCCCTGCCGGACGCTGCCCCTGGAGCCTGCCCTCCCTCCCCTCGGCAGCGTCTGCTCCTGGAGGCCACCTCTGCGCCGCCCACCACCCTCTTCCCGGACGGAGCCACAGGTTCCACGTGGCCCCAGCACTCTGCAGGGTCCTGAGAATAGGTGCACGGTGCACGGCCCCCAGGGTGAGCTCCCCGCCCTGCCACAAGGGACGTGAGGCTGCCTCGCTCCGCACCAGCTGTGCAAGGACAACCTGACGCTCCCCGGGCAGCTTGCGTGGGGCAAGTCCCGGCTGCTTGCTCGACGCCTGCAGGGCGGCCCAGCCCCAGCCTGCAGCCTGGCTCCTTCCCCGGAGAGCACACAGGTCCCTCACCTTTCTAATCTCTCAAGTGCTGTTTCCTTCGCATCGGAGACTTGCAATCCATGTTTGAGACCTGCCTCTCCCTAGGGTGGGGGCCCGTGACCAACGGAATCTTGTCCTCCGTGTGCACCGCTCTGGTCCCCCTTCCTGAACGAAGGACAAGCCACACGAGAGGAAGTGCATGTTCCCCAACGGAACGCTTTATTGACAGACTGCCCATTAGATACCTTATGGAGAAGACCAGCCAACTAGGGGTCCTGCACCCTGCCGCACCCCGCTGGAGAGTCTAACTCTGGGGGAGGAGTGTGCGCGTGGACAGCAGTCCCCCGGGGTGCACAGGGCACACGCAGGTGAGGTCTGGGCCCGCGGAGAGGCGGTAAGGCACAAGCTGCCCCTCCACACACACCTGGCACCTGGGACACGGGGAGAGGCTGCTGGGGTGTGGCAGCTTCAAAGCAGGGGGAGATCTTCGGAGCTCCTGAGAGAAGGCAGCAGCGGAGGTCCAGCGGACCCCACGCCCAGCCCTGCCCGGCCCCTGCACCTCCCGGGGAGGGCAGTGTGGCGGCACTGGGGTGAGACCCCTCCCCCCACCCCCCAGCCCCAGGAGCCTGCGCCAGCGGGAGCTGCCGGGGCCTGGAGAGCGTGGAGCGGGCGAGCCCCGCGTGCTGGGGTGCAGCGTGCTGGCAGGGGGCCGCTGGCAGAGGCAGGCGACGCGGAGCTCTGTGCGGCGCCCAGGGCCCTCCGGAGGGCTCCCCCCTCTACGCACGAACGTTACAAACAACACAGAGTGAGGGGTGTAAGGCTTGTATTTCAGCTCGAGTCCAGATAATATTCTCTAACTACCAGGCTAAAGCTGCTTTGCTTAGTTTTACATTTTGAAAAACCGGCTGCATTGAAAAAATAAAGGATTTGCTTTAGTTAAAGCTAGGTCATTAGTGTAACCACCAGGAGGCTGCTGACAGTCAGCGTCTTTGTGGAGGGTTTCGGGACGTGGACGCTCTCCTCACTCAGCATTCCGAAGGGCGCCCGCGGGCCGGTCGGGCTTCTGGACGCCGGTGCGGGGAAGGCGGGGTTCACGTGCCACCAGCTCAGCTGTGCCATCTGGCCTCTCTTCCTCGGGGGTCGCGCGCTGATGAACCCACAAGGCCGCCACAGGGGGCGCTGCTCCGCTCCGCCCCGCCCCGCCCCGCCCCGCCCCCAGGAGGACGCACAGCGGGTCCGCGGCACCTAACGGCTTTAGTGAGAAGCATCTGGGCACGGGACCCTCCCTCGGACACGCGGTGCAGCGGCCCACCCACACGTGGGTGGCACAACTGTCCTCAAAGCTGCTCCTCGCGTCCTCCGCAGCCGCCGCCGCTCCGCCGCACGGGGGGGCCGCCGGGAAGAGGGCCCCACGCGGGCTCCGTGGCGGCAGAGCGGTTTCGGGCTTAGAAGGGCTCGTGGCCGGGCAGGGGCTTGTCGCCACTCCCGGTCGGGGAGGGAAGGCCATCACCGCCGTTCTCTCTGCCGCCTGCCACCTTCGACTGCAAACGGGAAAAGACCGGGAGGACTGGTGTGAGGCTGCGCAAGCGGTGCCGGCAGGCCCCAGGCACCTGCTGGGGGCTGCGTTGTTCACCCTCCGCACAAGTGTGCGGGAGGTGAGCGCGGCCGGGCAAGGGAAAGGAACAGACCACTGGCTGACACGGGCCACAGGCTGCGCCCACCTCCCAGGACGCTGCAGCGGCCAGGGCTCGGCCCCACGGGCACCTTCCCTGGGCCACGAAACTGCGGACCGGGAGAGGCGGCCGGTGGGCGTCGGGGAGGGGTGGGCGGGGGCGGGCACCGGGGGGGGGTCTCTGGGGAGTGGACTGCTCTCTACCTGCCTGTGCCCAAGGCACACCGGGGTGTCGCCGCAGGTCCCCTCTAAGGACCCTGGGGCGGGCCCAGGGCTCTCTGCCTTAGCCCCTGTGACCACATGCAAACCCACAGCGATTCAGTGGGTCCCCCGCTGGGAGGAGCCAACGATCCAGGCAGTTACCTTTATGGTCCCAACTCGGTCCTCCAGGGACTTGAAGGTGGCAGAATTCCTGCACAGAAAGAGGAAGCGGGGGTCAGTGCAAGGAGCACACGGCTGTGTTGCCCCCGGACTCCAGGGCCTCGAGAGTGGGGTCGTCCACCACACAGAGCCCTGACAGCACCCTGAGGTCTCGCTATGAGAACAAGACTCGCCACAAGAAGGGGCGGGGCCACCCCTTCCACAGAACCCAGCCAAGACCGTTCCGGAGGCATCGCCAGGTCCCAGCCAGGTTGGCCACACCTGCTGACCCCAGGGACGCGACCTGCCAGCCACCAGCTGGTGGGGCCCCGGCTCCCCGTGCAGGGCTGCAGGCCCCTCCACTGGGCTGAGGGCGGGCGCAGGCCCGCCTCTGCTGCGCCCTCGCCACACCTGTGCCGGGGGAGGGAAAGCCGGGTGTGCGCTCCACACGCGTCTGTTTCGGGATGAAGCCACGGGAGCCCCCCGGGGCCAGAGAGCGAGGAGCAGGCAGGAGGACAGCGCAAGCAGTCCCAGTTCCACCGGCACCCGCCTACACCAACACGGGCCCAGGTCGCACACCCAGGCAGGGACCCCCAGAGAGCTCTGCGGTGTGGCAGCTGCTGCTCCTTGCGCGGGGATGGGCTCCGCAGGGGGACTGGCCAGAGAGCACACGGAGCAGGCGCCACGAAAGGCCTGCAGGCAGCTGCAGCCTCCGGGCACCAGGCATGCACGGGGGCCGCTCCACCCCACCCCAGCCTGCGCCCACGGACAGTCCCGGAAGGTTCCGGGTGGAGCACAGAGGTCCCTCTGAGCTTTGCCCCCACTAGCTCTGTGGCTTGGGGGGGGTTTCCCAATCCTTAACCGACAGGGGCTGGCCGCCAGGGGAAGGCGGGCCTCGCTCAGGGCGGCGGGAAGCTGCCTGCTCCCACCCACCCCACCCTGCTCTGGGAGCTGGGGGCGCGAGCGTACATTACCTCATGGCGGGCATACTTATCGAGTGGCGGATGGAGTAGCCGCTGCTCGGAAGCGTGGTAAAAGCAGAGAAGGAAGCGAGAGTTAGGGCGAGGGCAGACTGGCCTCCACGGGGCTTTGCCGTGGTGGGGGGGGGGGGGCGCGGTGACAGGACCCGGACCCCAGCACCGCGGGAACAGACAGGAAGGAGCCTCAGGAGGCCCCTCCCAGGCGGAACACTCAGCCCAAGGCCCCCTCTCCCTCCCAAGTGGCCCCGGAGTACAACCCTGTGGAGGGAGACCGCCTGGGCTTCAGAGAAGTTTCTGGAGCACGTGGGGGCTGGGTGTCCTTACTTGACTTCACAGTGAGTTAAACGACGTTTTTGGCCAAAGAGGAACCCCCAGATCAAGTGAGTAGAAAGCACTTAAAACCAGAGACTGTTCTGGACTTGGGCTCCAGGCCTCCGGGCCAGGAGGGTGAGCCTTGAGGGCCGAGCCGCTCAGACAGGGCCCCACCCACCAGATGGGTCCCGCTGGGGCCCTGGGGCAGCCGGAGTCTCACGTCCCGCGGGAGACAGCCTGGAGGGACGGCCCCAACCCCCCTCGGAAGGAAGACTCGGAAGCAGGACGGCCGGGGGTCCACACGCCCCGCCCCGCAAACCCGGGTCTTGCAGGGAGTCCCCTCAGGGAAGCGCTCAGACGGACGGGCCCCGGGGGCTGGCGGGCGCGAGACAGCAACAGCGCCCGGGCCGGCACGTGTCGTCGTTGGGGAGATGACCCGCAGGGACCCCGGCGCGAGCGGCCGCCGTGTTCTCACGCGTGGCCGGTGCTGGCCCCGCCGCGCTAGGAAGGGGCACGTCGGGCAGTTTCCGGCCCCCCAGTACCGTCAGCCGGCACAGCACCCCAAGGCTGGCAGCCCTGCGGCCGAGGGGCCGCCCCCACGTGGGCCGGGTCTTACCTAAAGGAGGGAGGGAACGGACGGGCCCTGGCCGTGCAGCGGGAGGAGAGAAGAGACGCGGGTTAGGGGAAGGCCAGCGCCCACCAGCCCCTGCACCCAGCCCCCCACGGCACACGACGGCCAGGTGCGCGGCCCGCGGCTCTGCTCCGCCGGCGGGCTGGGTGGGCACCTGCACGCCCACACCCCTTCGCAGGCCGCAGGGAAGGCGCCCCACAGCACGGGACGCACCCGGTGGGCTCCGCCGCCTGGACCCAGGCCAGCTGCACTCAGCTGACACACGCCACGCACGCACACACACACCGAGCACACGCACACACTGCGCACACGCACACACGGCAACAGCGGCCGGGCGCCCTCAGACCTGAGCCCTCTGCGCTCCGGCCCCACCCCCGAGGATGACAGAAGCCACCCAGAATCGAGCAGTGTCCGAGGACAGGGCGCGGGAGGAACGGGGCCCTCCTCGCGGCCCAGCCTGGCTCGCGGCCTCTAGCGCTCCAGAGGCCGCCCCACGCGGACGCCGTGGGGAGCAGCACACGCCCCTCTCAGGGTCTGATGTGTCCTCGCTGTCCGTGGGCAGCAGGGCCGGACCCAGCCCCCTCCCCCAGTCCTGCCTCATGCCCATGGGCACAAAGGGCGGCTCCGCCCCGGCCAGGCCTCCAGCTGGGCAGCCGCCCTGAAGCCCCACCCCTGACACTCAATGCCCGTTAGGGTCCCAGCCCTGAACGTCCGGCCTGCACCTCCCGAACCTGGCTGCCGTTCAGGTGGTGAGCTCGCCAGCGGGGACTCGCAACCGGGGAAGGGAACGGGCCTCAGCCTCCACCAGCTGAGGCCACACGGGAGACAATGGAGCCACATCTGGGACCCTGAGAGGTCGGAGTTCACAGCACCCCTGGGAGACGGAGAGTCCCCAGGGCAGGACACACCAGAAGCCAGGTCAACCTCCCCCAGAGCCCTGAGCACGGCCTGGCCCCCCTCGGCCGCCGCCCCCCCCCCCCAGCACAGGTCCGAGTGGCACACACACACAGTGCCGCCGTGCCGCCATCTGCGGCCGGCCGCCAGCCTCTGCGCAGAGAGAGGGACCCACGGGGCCGCCCCTCGGGGGGGAGCGAGCGGAGGCGGCGTGGGGGCCCGGCGGACACCTGGTGCCGCACCAGCACTCGAGGGCGGGGGGACGGGCACAACCTGACACGCTGCTCGCTCCGGCGGCGCTGGGGCAGCCGGCCAGCCTCGGCTGTCCCTGGACGCGAGGCCAGGCCACCCGCGGTGTCATCCGTCTGTCACTGGGCTTACCACGGCACAGCTCAGGTGGCCCAAGCAGGTGTCCCAGTTCGCAGCGGTGGCGGCGTCCCATCTAGTGTCAGACGAGACGCGTTGTGGGAACTCGCCCAGGCGAGCACGGGCCCAGCGGGGGGAGCCACCACAGACCCTCCTGGCCGGCAGCGCAGGGCCACAGTCGGGAAGTGGCGGAGGGGGGAGCCTCAGGCACCCAGGTCACGGCTGCGCCGGGCAAGACCTGCATCTACAGGGCGACCCACGGGGACCGCCCGCTGCTCAGGAGCCCAGCCAGAGCCCGGGGTGCGAGGGCCCGGAGGGAACACACGGTCCACCCACAGACTGCTCGGCCTCTCTGCGGCTGGAGGGTCTCAAGCACAGAGCTGGGGAGGCCGAGCTCCTCGGACCGCCAGAGGAGGGCGAGCAGGGCACCGGCACACACCACCTCGCACTGGGCGGCTGGTGCCTGGGCCGCTGGTGTTTGTCTTTGTCTCCAGCTGGGTGGGGACTGCCGGACTGGCGGGCAGGGAGATGCTGAATCTAAGCAGGGCAGGGGTGAGGGGTCAGAGTGCGGTGCCCCCCCAGCCCGCCAAGCCCAGGAGCAACACCACCCCGTGACCCTCTCAGGGCGAGGTGACGCTGCACAGAAGCATTTCCGGACACAGGGGGGAAGGGGCGTGGCCCCAAGGGTGGGGCCCGACCTGCACCCCACACTGCCACTCACTGACCTGCGTCCCGTCCAGCCGAGGGCACAGCTGAGGGCAGGTGCTGCCCCGCAGCCAGCGAGGGCCTGGGCCACACCACACTCCCTGGCCCCAGGCCATGCTCAAGAGCCACCTCCGGGGGCCGTCAAGGTCTGGTCAGCCTTGCGCAGCACATTTAGCTGGGGGCCTCAGTGTGTGGCCTGGGCCGGGCACAGTCCCCAAGGAAACCCCAAGCCTGCCCAGGGCAGGGCCTAGTGGCCAGCCTGCCCGCACACCTGTCCCCCCGGACGCCAGGCCCCAGGACGGAGTCACTCTGTTCCCACAGAACCGCAGGGAGCAGAGCCGCCCTCCCCCAGCGCCGCAGAGCTGCCTGCACCCAAGGGGCCACGGACCAGCTGGGCCGGGCTGCTGAGGGCCCCCACGGGACCTCCACCACAGGGCGTCCAACTTTGTGGTGTCTCCGGGCCACACACCGAACACACGAACACCAGTGACAACTGCTGCACAAAGGAAAGGCCCGTGGGTTGTCTCGGTGACACTGCCACCACGGAGAAGCCACGAGCCTCGCGTGACCATCCTAGGCACGCCACGGCCTCCGTGTGCGACCACCGAGGCAGGGAGGGCCCGCGTCTAGGCGGCACAACGCCCCTGACGTGCCCCACGCTTTCATTGTGACGTGGCACGAGAGGCCACGCGGCCGGCCGGGCAGGGGTGCGAGGCCACACTCGAGAGACGCGCGCACCAGCGTCTGGCGCGACGGGAGCGGCAGCAGGTCCCAGCGAGCGCTCCAGCCGCTCTTCCGACACGCTGGCCCTGACTGTACTCTCGGCGTGTCCGCTCCTGAAGAGGGCTGCTCGCAAATGCGGGCGCCGCCAGGCAGCAGCGGCACCAGGGAGGCACGGCCGTGAGGCGAGGGCGCCCGTCCGTCCCTGGGGAGACGGGACCGCGAAGAGACAGGCCCCGCTTCCCTCCGGGCGGGGCGTCGGGTCGGGGCGCAGGTCCGCGCACTCCTCCTGGGAGTCGGCCGGTGACGCGTTCGCGTCGACCGGAAAGGAGCCACAAACACAGCGAAAGTAGTGGTTTGTTCCCAGAAATTTTTCGAGTCTGTCTTCCAATCCTTGCGTCCAACCGAAAAGCAAGGCGGCGTGGTTTCCGCCATTCACGGGGCTGTGGTCAGCCAACGGGGGCGGGGGGCGGGAGACGGGGACGCGTGGAGTTGTCTGCCCCGGGGTGAGCTCGCCCGAGCTCCGGCTTCGCCTGCACCGCTGCTCTGGTTTGGAGCGCGGTGCTGAGGAGCCGGCTTCACCCGGACGACGCCACCAAAGATGCCGGAGCTGTAAGCCAGTTTTGATGGTCGAGTTCCGGCACAAATTTGTGCTTTGATACCACAAATGGCTGCACAACGTGTCGCAGATCACAAAGTCTGTCCAGCGTGTGGCCCGGACGGGGCCACCGCACCTCCAAGAAGCAAGTGACGTCGCCCCGGTCAGCATCGGTGCCTCGAAGGAAGTCCGGGCACCGGCGCGGCCCCTTGGCTCCCACGGAGTTCAGTCCCGAGGAGGATCTGCGTGACGTCACCCACTCTTAAAGCTTCTGTGCACAGAGTTTCCTCGACATACGACGCGATGACACTTCACACAGACCGACGTGTGGGCAGCAACTGCACTGTTTCCTGTCGCCCTCGCCGGCCCCTCCCTCCCCTGCATCGCCCCGGGGCGCCAGGCCAGCGGGAGGAGCGGCAGCAGACAAAGTGACCGAGGACAGAGACGGCCCCGGGAACGCGCTTCTCTCTGCCCTGCCCACCCCCGGACGCGGCTGCGTCTGTCAGCGGCACGACCACCCACATCTTCAGCGACAGCACCTCCGCCACCAACTCCTCCAACGAGAACGGCCAGCGAGCCGTGTCCGTGGCATCGGCGCGAACACCTGTCGCCAAAGCACGAAACCAAAAACCCGCAGCTTAGCTCTCCGGACGTCCCCCGGCTGACCCTCCGTCTCTGCAGCTCCCCTGGCCGGGCCGCTGTCCGGCGAGACCGACCGAGTCAGAGACACCCGTCCTTCAGGGCCAGCGACGGCGGCCGCGCCTTCTCCGCGCTGCTTCACGGGGGCGCCACCGGCGCGAGCCCCGACTTTGCTCCTATCGCACGTGCTGCCACGCACCCAGCTCTGACGGTGGGTGGGTGGGTGGGGTGCACCGAGCTGCGGGTGTCTGAAAGACTCCGTTGAGACACTCTTCTCCGTGCCGCTGTTCCGCCCTCACGACACGGCCCTTCACGCACATCGAGCCTGGCGGCACGTCCTTGCACGGAGCGCTCCTCTGACTGCAGTCCCTGAAGATGCGCACAGACTCCCCACATTACTACTCGCCTCGGCAGAAAAGTGGCCACCTGTCCGCTTCTCACGGAGCAGCCCTCCTCCGTCTGCAGTCACTCTCTTTTTGGCTTCTCCTCCACTCTCAGACGTTGCAGAGGCGACGCTGGGATAAAACCCAGTGACCACAAGGGACTCCACGCCCTTCTGTCAGGAAAACTGACGGACAGGAGGAGGGAAAGCAAGGTCTGGGCCCCCCCACCATCCCCCGGCTGCTGACGCGGGGCGAGGCGGCAGTGGGCGGGCGCCGCGGAGGCGTGGGAGCACCTTCTGCAGCCAGGTCCGGGGGCTGACCGGACCTCTACCACGAAGCGCCGCCGCCACGGGGGCGGGCCAAGACGCTGCTGGGAGGCGCGGCCTCGTGAGGGCACCGCAAGCACAGGCAGCGCCTGGCGGTCAGGCCCAGGCCTGCGCCGGGAGAGCCCACGCCGGAGGCCGCGCCCTGCCGCAGAACTGAAGGCACACGTACGTGCGAAGAGCGGGCACACGCGTGTGTTTATTCTACGTGACACCGCAGCACGTACTCACACACAAAAAAACACGCTGATGTTTTAAGAAAATTTACACTTTTGTGTGGGGCCACGGTCCCAGCCATCCTGGGCCGCAGGCTGGACACCCCTGCCCTAGGGATCAGACACCCGAACACCTCCGGGCGGAGGGGCAGCGGCAGAGGGCGGGGCCTCACCTCATGTCCCCGAGCTTCCTGCTGATGGCCGAGCCCACCGTGGACAGGGCAGCCGACGTCTTCTGTCCCGCCTGAGAGAGCGTTTCCTGCGTCTTCTTGTAGCTGGGGAGAGGAGACACAGGTAAACCCACCACGCCCGAGGGGCACCCACCACCCGCATCCGCAGCCAAGGACCACAGCGCCCAGACAGCACAGAGCGGCCGGCTGCCCGTGGGGCCCCAGAAGGGAGCAGCCACAGGCCGTGGCCCCCAGGCCTGCGGCCGCCCTGAGTTGTCTCGTTTTGTTTCCAAGATTTTTTCACTTTTTTTTTTAGACATAAGGGAAGGGACGGAAAAAGAGAGGGAGAGAAATACCAATGTGTGGCTGCCTCTCGCACACCCCCTGCTGGGGACCTGGCCTGCAACCCAGGCCTGCGCCCTGACTGGGAATCGAACTGGTGACCCTTCGGTGTGCAGGCTGGTGCTGCATCCACGGAGCCACCCCAGCCTCCAGGGGAGCCCTGGGTTCTGACCTCACTCTGACTCCACAGCTCCCCACCTCTCCCAGCCCCCGCCAGCCCCACTCGCTCGTCTTCTCGCAGCAACTCCGGCTCTTGGGAAGCAGCGCCTGGGGCTGCAGAGGCCCTGGGTCCGGGCCGAAGCCAGAAACGTCCTCCGGGCTCCCAGCTGCCGCCCGCAGCCAGCTTCCCCCGCTGTCGCCCAGGAGGCAGCCCCCACAGCCCAGGCCCAGTGCCGACAGGGCAGCAGCGGCCCCTCCCACCTGCCCCCTGCCACGCCGTCCCACCACGCCTGCTCGGACCTGCGGGAGCCCCCACCTCGTGCCACCGTTCTCAGCTCCAGGGCCGGTCCTGGCTCCCAGTGAGGACGGGCCGGGTCAACCCCGACAGCTCACGCCTCGGGCCCTCGGCCCCCATCCAGCCACTACCACAAACACACCCCAGCAGCCTGAACCTCACTCAGAGCTCCCTTCTGTCCGACCTGGGGCCACAGAACAGCGGCTTGAGACGGCCGGGCTCTCAGGACGCCAGTCAACACAGGGCCTGCCAGCGTGCCCACAGGGTCAGAGAGCACTGGCAGCGGGTCTCCCGAGCCCCTCTCGCCATCCGCTCTGCACGGCTGCCTGCCGGAGGCCCCCGGGAGCACCCGCTGCCCCCTCTTCGGGCCCGCCTCCTGAGCCCTCAGCCTGCCCAAGCTGACCCTCAGACCCCACAGCATCTCTGCCCAGAGCCGCCACCCGCACCACGACCTGTCTCAGGGCCCGGCCAGCCTGCGGCAGTTGGGGCAGGCACCCATGGCACCGCCCGCCGAGGAAGGCCACTGTGCTCGCCCCAGGGGACACACAGCCCCTGCCGAGCCCGCCCCCAGACCTGGGCTGATGAAGTGTTCTTGCTCCAAAGGGAGTTAACAACGTCACCTGCAAGAAACAGCCTGCTGGGCACCTGCAGCCACCGCATCGGCGGCAAGACACCAGGTGCGAGGGCAGCGAGGACACGAGACGTCTCCTTCCGGAAATATGGACTCACGACCCGCCCGCACTCCCAGCCTGCCCCGGGACGACGCGCTCGGGAGACCGCGGTGACATGCGGGGGTGCGGCCGGGAGCCGGGCAGAGGGTCTGGGGACGGAGCTGCCCGAGCCTCCACTTGTGCCCACACGGCCAGGCCGGGACGCGGGCCAGAGAGGCCGGGCGGGGGCCACGCCGGGTGTCTGCGGTGACGCGTGGGGCCACCCGGGGTGGCGTGGAGGACAGCGCCTCGTTGAGTCCATGGCGCTGGGTGAGTCCCCGCCCTCCACAGGCCTCGCATCCCCGGCGTGCAGACTCGTGCCACCAGCGGGGACTTCTCCAGGAGCCTGGCAGGGAGGCTGCCGAGGGGGCCACCTTGTGGGGAAGCCCCGGAGCCGAGCCCCGAGACACACCTGCCCCCTCTGGGGCCCCTGCAGAGGCACCTCCTCCTGTGCCTTCCCCGGGGCTGCCCCAACCCCCATGCGGGTGGGCAAAGGGCCACGGTCCGGCCGGCCGGCCACCCTCACTCCTGAGCACAGCGAGACCCGGGGAGAGCCACAGCGGGCCCCCTGGCTGCGGGGCACCTGCCCGCGGCGCAGAGGAGGAACTGAGCACGAAGCCACTGCGGGGGCAGGAGGGCCCCGGTCCTCCGTGGGCGGGCCTGGAGCAGGGCCTCTGGACGGGCAAGGCTCTGCAGAGCTTCCTGTCCCCGCTGCCACCGCGCCCGCCACGGGGCCTCCTGAGCCAGCGGCTGCCGTGGGGCCATGGGGGCCCCTCCTGGGGTGGCGCTCCCGGGGAACACCCAGCAGGAAGAACCCGTGGGGCAACCGTTTCGCCATCGATGGCGCAGCTGCACCCCGGCCCCACCACTGAGCCAAAGGGGCAGGGGCCGGGAGAAGCCGCACTGGCAGCATCCGAGTGTCCCCCAGCAGCCCTGTGGGCGGGGAGATGGGCTCCGCCTGCTGCACCCACCCCGCCAGGCACTCTGCCAGCTGTTCTGCAGCAGGACCCCGGCCAGGCACCCTCCCCACAGAGGAGGCACGCCCCCCGGGCTACGCCGCCCCCCTCCGGGGCGCCACCAGAGAAACGCCCCCAGCCTGGGGGGGTCACGGCGACGGCTTTCCCACGACCGAGGGGAGGAGACCCGGGGCGGGGGGGCACAGCCTGGCAAAGCACGGCGACAGGCCAGGCCCAGGGCCTCAGCTCCTCTCGGGGGGCCCACTCAGGACGGCACCGCTCCGAGACGGCGAGCCACGGGTCTCACCGAACACCACCACCGTCTCCTGAGGCTGTTTTGGGACGAAGTCTGTGCTGGGACCTGCCTGGTGACAGCCACCGCGTCACCCTGGAAGCGCCGCCTACCATGGCCCGAAGGCCCCGCACAGCTGTGCTCTTCCCCCACCTGCCACCACGCCCGGCCGTCTGCCGGACACAGATAGCACCGGCCACGAGATGCCGGGGTCCCCCGGTGACAGGCAGGGTCTGCGAGGGCTCCACACACAGCCTGCCACCCTGGGGTCCCCAGCACCTTCGGGAGAAGCTGGGCAGCAGCCGCCCACTCCCTTTCCGCCCAACACAACGGGGTTCTGCTGCAGCCACACAGAACTTCTCAACAGGAGAGGAAACCCCGGAGGGTGACGGTTTCTAACGGCCGCCCCACGCCGTCCTGACAGGTGGGACCGGAGTGCAGCTCGGAAAAGTGAGCCTCTGTCACCTCGCCGCGGGGGCCCGGACCATGGGCCCGGGCCGCCCACACCACTCCATCGGGACCCCCGTGGCACAGCCCTTACCCCCGGCTCAAGGAACCCTCAGTACCAGGGCAGCTCTGGAGCCCTGACAGCGGGAGGGGGGTCTGCAGAGGAAGGAAGCAGGGCCAAAGCCCCCCAGACACCACCATGCACACTGGTCAGGAGGCACTCCGCCACCAGCCCCTCCGGCGCCAGGCAGCGTCCACGAGGCGACGGGCTCGGCGCGGCCGGGGGCTGGACGCCCTTCAGGGACTGAGCCCTGCCCCGAGTGTGAGGCCCAGTTGCACGTGCGTCTGGGAGGGAAAAGCAGACGAGAAAGGCAACAGCCCGAAAACACCGCGCTGGGTTTGCACGCAGCCGGCCGGCCCCTGCGGGCGGGGCGGGCCGGGACGAGAGGAGGAAGAGCGACAGGCACCCCAGCAAAGGCACTCACAGGTCCGACTGGGCCACTCGCTCGCTCCACTCCCCGAGCGTCTCAGAGGTCCTCACGTAGCTACAAGGGAAGGTCGGAGGTGAGTCAGCGGGGGCTGTTCCACCTCGGGGCTCAACTGCGGGCGGGTCCCAGGCACCGGCTTCCCTGCCAGGCCCGGCACTACCTGGGTCCGTCGACGGAAGGTGGCCCTTAGGAACACAGGGCCGTGAGGGGCAAGGGTGAACAGCCTGTGGCCCCAAGATACTTCTGCGACAGTCACCCTTCGAGACTCAAACACCTGTGATTTCATCGAAACGGACTTTTCCCAGGCGAGGTTCACAGAACGGCGTGAGCCTGCCCTTCGGCGGGGACCTGGCATGTTCGGTGGGGCAGCACGTCCCTCCCCCGCCTCAGGGGACGCGGGGTCGGTGGCCCGAGCCCCACCCCCCGGGCTCAGGGAGTGAGGCCCGCCAGGTTCAGCGGGCCCGGGGCTGTGACCACCCCGTGCTCCGAAGGGCTCCGTCCACTGGGGCCACTGCTGAGCTGCAGGGACAGCGGGAGAGCAGGTCCCATCCAGGACCCAGCGAGGCTTCTCTCAAGGCCAGACCCCGAAACGTACCCGCAGCCACAGCCACTGAGGCAGCTGGCTGCGCCCGCCCGCGCACACTCGGGCCGAGCCCTGGGAGTGCAGACGCACGCTGCGGGGTCGAGGACACTGGGCCCCAGGCGGCCACTGCCAAGAGGCACGCTTGACCCCCCCCACCCCCACGGCCCCGCTTCAGGGCGGGCACCTACGCGGGAGAGCCCTGCACGTCGTGCCAGCTGCGGGTCAGGTTCTGCTTCAGGCCCTCCAGGGCCGACAGGCCGAGCTTCCGCCTCAGCTCTCCGCAGTGCCGCTCCTTGGCCGCCAGCACCTGGCGCAGGGTGGCGATCTCCTCTTCCACCTGCACGGGCACGCGGGGACACGGTCAGCTGCCTGCCTCCGGAAGGGACCGACACCCCCACATGCTGCTGCGGTGCGGGGCGGGGGGGGGGCTCGGAGTCCCGCAGCTCGTCCTGGGACAGTGCAACGGCAGCTGGCGGTTCTCGGCAGCGCCAGCACCCACGGCTCCCGCAGGGCCGTCTGGTCCTGACGAGGCTGCCCACCCCCACGCCTGCCTGCAGACGACTCAGCGAGGCCTGCCAGGCTCCGCCCCGGGACTGGGCACAGCGGTCAGGGGAGCAATGCCCCTTCTCCTTGGGCCGGGTCTGAGCTCGGGCAGAGGGCGGAGCACCTGGCAGCCTGCAACCCCTGTGCAGCAGGAAGGAGGCAGAGCTGACAGACGGGTGCCCAGAGACCCAGGAGACAGAAAGACAGCCCTCGGGACACCTGCGTTCCCGAGGCCAGCTGCAGGCCTTGGCCAAAGCCAAACTCGAATGCACTTTTGTGTTTGCAGTGGTTTGAGTGGGCTGACAACCTGAGCCCTGAACCCCTCAGGTCCCGAAAAGGTGATGCCAGAAGGGGGCGTCCGTGAGAGCCTCACGGCCTCCGAGTTCGCATGTGTCCAGCGCCCCTGTGAGCAGCTGTTCTTACAAAATTTAAAAAAATAAATAAATAAAAAACACCCTCTTTAGAAAGCACTCATCTGGACTAAGGGTCTAAACACAGGTGGGAGGTGTATGCATCCCTTGACTCTGCTGTAGAAATTATCGAGTTGGCCAAAAACTTTGTTTTTTTTCCACACGATGGCTCTAGTGGTGCTTTGCTGTCTTTATCATCACCTGAACGATTTCGTTACGTTGCGGCGTGACAGCTGTCCTGGCAGTGTGTGTTTTAAAGACCTGTCTGCTCGTAGAGCTACGAGGAGGGGGACAAACAGCAACGCGAGAGACAGCGAGCGACCCGCTGGCCGGCTGCCCGCACGCCCCCAACCGAGGGCCTGGCCCGCAACACCGGGATGTGCCCTGGGGGTCCAACCAGCGACCTTCGGGCTTGACGCCCAGTCCACTGAGCCACACCAGCCAGGGCTCAGCATGCATTTTCTTAACACTTATCAAAATTGGTGAATTTTGGTGCAGCTGTTTTAATATTGCAGATGGAGGAAGGTACATGGCATTTTTGGCATATTATGCTTTATCATTTCAAGAAAGGTAAAAATGCAACTGAAATGCGTGGAAAGATTTGTGCAGATCTGTGCAGTGTGCGGAGAAGGTGCTGTGACTGACCGAACACGTCCAAAGCGGTTTGCAGAGTTTCTCGGACCTGCTGACGCTCTGGCCGAACGACTCCCTGCCGTGGGGCTCCCCCACACGCCGGAACACGTGCGGGGCGGCACCCCGGCCTCTCCCCTCTCTCGGCCGACAGCGGGAGGCGGCTGACACACTCAAGATATCCAAACCAATGAAGTTATTGGTGAAAATGGAAAAAGAAGTGCCTTTTACTTTACAGAAAAAAACTAAGGGCGCAAAGCCAGGGCTGCAAGGACGGTTCCTGTGGGACCGTGGGGCCGGCCTCCACGTTCTGCAGAGCCACGCCAGCCTCGGAGCCCTCGTCAGACCCGCGCCCCCCCCCCCACTCCAGGCCCCCAGGCCCCCAAGCCCAGACGCAGCACCTTTGCGAGCTCGGCCCTGAGCTCCTCCTCCTCCGCTTCTGTCAGACCCTCGGCAGCAGGCATCGGGGCGGCCCCCACTGTGTCGACAGGGACGTCCGTCATGGCGTCGGGCAGCAGACCTTTGTTGGGAGAATTCAGGTTGATATCTGCCAGACACAAAATGGGTCCAGAAGGCGCATCAAGGGAGGAGCCGTGGAGGAGCCCGGGGCAGAGGGGAAGGACGGGGGGAAAGGGCAGGCGCCAGGACACTAACGAAGCCTCTTCTCTGGAAGCTTCTGCGAGGACGGCCCAGGCCCCCTACTGGGGACAGCACCCCCGCGGGCACAAGTCCCCCCGAGCCAGAACTCTGCCTCGAGGCACTGCGGGAGCCAAGGAACCCGATGCAGCTGTGAACACGCGCACCGCTTTCCAAGCAGCTGACCGCCTGGCGCCCACGCTACGGTCACACACAAGGAGCATGCGCTGCCCTGCAAGGACACGCAGCACGCCTGCACACGCCTGCACACGCCCCGGCTGCCCTTTCCTGCGGCCCTCAGCACTCGCACACGGCCAGCACTGAGAACGTCGTCTCTCCGCCCGGCACACCATGAAGGCGCAGCCTTTGTGCGGCGTCTGGCCCCTTTAAAAGTAAATTAAGCAGCAAGCATAAAGGCTGGAGAGAAGGAAAGTGCTTCCCACTGCTGGCAGGCTTGTCCACTGTCCGCTAAGCACGGACAGAAAGCACTCGGAGCCAGAGATGCTCCCCTCACGCCCTGCCTGCACGCCCCAGCTGGGAGCTCCCTGGGTGCCCAGCCGGTGTTAACAAAACAGAGCACGTCCACTTGAAATCAGCTCATTCTGGCTTCTAACTGGGGTCGGCCTCTGGGGTTTTACTCCATCACCCGTATCCACTACGATGAACCTACTCAAATCCAGTAAACGCCTTGAAATCTATGTATTTTCCCCTATTTTGAAAAAATAAACGAGGGCTCACGGACAGTTTCTGGCTAGAAAGCTAGAACTGGGTCCCATGGAAGTCACCCCCTGGCAGAAACTGGGCACTCGCCGAACATGCCGGGCACTGCGTGACATCAGCCTCAGCACACAGTGCGGGCAGGGAAGGGTGTCGTCACCGAAGGACCCACGGGGAACGAGCTTGGGTGGGCCCTTCGCCACGGGTGGGCCCCGGCTCCCAACCCCACACAATCACCAGTTGGGAGCAGTGTGAAGACCGACCTCCAAGGGCCGTTCTAAAAACAGAAAAAGGTCATTCGAGAAGCAAGCTTAACACAGTGTCTGGCACACAGCAGGTGCTCAGTGAAGGTTCCCGGATGTTCTCGCGATCAGAATCCAGTGCTCACGGTGCTCAACTAACCAGGGACGCAACCCAAGCAGTGAGAAGCCTCCTGAACCTCTCAAGGCCCCCGCAGGAGCTTCTGACGTTCAACCACGGTGTAAGGAGACGTCAAAAGCAGAAATACCTACAGAATATCATCAGAACCCCGCAATTCTAACGTTTAACTACAACGCTGGTGAGAGCACCCTGTAATTACCCAGTGTAGTTCTGTCAACACAGAAATGTGGCAACCACCACCCCCGCCCCAGAGCCTCGTAGTAAAGGGAGACAGACTCTTTATCGCCTTCCCGAGATTTGCATATCCTGGGCCTGCGCCACACCCACTCCCGTCGGCCCTCTCTAGCTGGTCGGGTGTCTGTCTGGGAACGGGCCGGGTGCGCTGGGCGTGCCCCCAGCTCACGGCGCCCTCCCCCTCCTGAGACAACCTCGGAATAGGCTGCGCTCCGAGCAGCGTTGCCACCCAAGGGGCGCCGCGCCGAACGCGAACACGGTTCCACCTCCGCAACTCCCCGGTCCCCCGGGAGACGCGCACACCTCGGCCCAAGTCCAAGGGAACGTCCCTGAGGGCCCGGCGCAGGCACGGAGGGCGGGGGCCTAACGAGAGGCGCCTGCAGTGAGGAAGCGCAAAGCTCTGGGGCCCGGCGGGAGGGTGGTGCCGGGGACCCAGTCCTCGCGGCGGTCCAAGCTGCCAGCGGAAGACTCACGCCGCGAGCGGAGAGGGGCCGCGGGGTTGCGGGGGCGAGCAGAGTAGGGGGCCGAGAGTCAGAGACGCGACCCGGGGAGGAGCGGAGCGTGGGCCCGCCGGGCCGGGAGGCGGCGGGGGCGCCGGGCCCGCAGCTCACCTTGGCCAGCAGAGTCCATGTTCAGACGGCGGCCCGGCCGCAGCTGGACTCGGGGCCGGGGTGGCGAGCGCCGGAGCGGAGCAGGCAGCACTGGTAGACGCTCGCCGCGCAAACACCAGTCAGCGGAACCGCTTCAGCCGCCGTGGCATTACGTAATCAGCGACGCGACGGCCCACTTCCGCTTTGACTAGCGCTCCGCCTTCGTCCCGCCCCCACGAGCTCTGTCCAATAAGACAGTTGTTGGCCCAGTCCTGTCCATCTACTTCAACCTGATTGGCCGAGGCTGAGGACGGAGCAGGAAAGGGAGGCCGGGTTCTGAGGGAAGCCCTCCCAGGTCGGCTCCACCAGCGAGACGCACAGGTAGAACGGTACGCAGAGCCCGGGGGAGGTGGGAAGTGGGAGGACCGGCTAACATGGCGCCACGGAAGCCCTGCACCCAGGCCGCTGGCAGGTCTCCAGGGTGTTTCCCGCTGCCTCCGGGCGCCAGGGCTCACGCACCTGGATGGGTCAGATTCAGACCCCTGGCGACCCCTCCGAGGCCCCTGACTTTGGGGTTAGCCTCTCCGCCTAGTCTGTCCTCTCTTATTTTAGTGCGCCCATTTACGGTGGTTTTGTTTTTTAATTGTTTGGGGGTTGCGCAGAAAAAGGCGTGACCGTGATCCCTCCTCTTGTCCTGCAGACACTGTTGCCCTCAACGGACTGGAGGCGACTGGGTCCCCACGCAGGCACCGGGCCTCGCTCATCCTTCGCCAGTTCGGTGCGGCGTGCACTGGTGTCCTCGGCGTGTCTCGGTCAGCCGCCCCGTGAACCAGGTGGAGCCCGCTTGACCGTTTGGGAGACGGAGGTTAGGGCGCCTTGCCAAGGCCTTTCAGCTAGTGGAGGGGCCTCCAGCAGACTCTGGAACAGTCTCGCCTGCCAGACTTCCCAAAGGCGAGGTGTATGGGATCGTCCGGCAACCAGTCCCGTTCGAACAGCTCCCACAATTGCCCTTCTTCGTCTCCTCCTTGTCCCTAGAAGCAAATCCTTAATCGTTAGGCAAAGCCCTTGGGATCTGCCCATGCAGGGACTGTGCTTCTGCCTCCAGCCATGCCACAGTGACTCCCAGGCACAGAATCCCCTTCCTTCACCGAAGTCCTCTTTCCGTCTCAGCTCAAAGCTCACTGTCTCCCTGTTTATGTCACCACACACACCCACCTCTGCTGCTGCTTGCCCTGGTGCATCGTGGCTGTGTCCTGCTCTGGTGCTGTCAATTATATGTCTGCCCCATGCAACTGTTTCCGCTTCTCCGGAGTTTCTTGCTCAACCCGCCCTGGCCAGCTCGTCCCCAGAGGCTGGGGACAGCCCGTGGTCTCTGCTTCATACAGAGACAGGCAGAAAGTGACTGCACCACAGATAGTGGGGAGCAGAGAAGCTTGTCTCTGGTTCTGCGTGGCACCCTTGAGCCAGGGCCAAGGCCCAGCCCGGGCCTGGCTCAGCGGACGCCCAGCAGTGAGCGATTGTTGCGGGTGTGGCTATGGCCCCACATGGACACAGCACTGTGTGCACCCATTCCTTCAAGGCTGCAGTCCGACCGAACCCCTCTTGTAGAAGCCAGGAGTGGGCGTGGGGAGGAGACCCCCGGGAGTGGCAGCATCACAGTCCCGCAAGGTCCAGCTGCTGAGACTGCTCTATACCCACCAATGTCCTTTCAAAGCTAGGGGTAACTCGTTCAAACCTTTCAACTCCCATCTCTCCCGGAACCACCCCGTCACCCAGGCTGGGAGAACGGCACCTCCGAGGGCCCCACAGCCCATGTTCCCAGCATCGTTTTGTCATGTTCAAAGTCCCTATTACACAGCGTTCCCATTGCTCGGGTCAGGTTAATCCTCGCACTCCCTTCAGGAGCCAGGAGCAGACCCGGACATGCACAGGTGTCGGAGGGAAGAAAGGGAGCTGGAAGTGCCCGCCCCACCCCAGACACTAGGTCGGGATCCCCAGGGCAGGCCAGCTTTACTGGTTGGGGTGTGGGGAGGGGACTGGCCCTGTGGCCCTGAAGATGGGCAAATGCTACAGCCTCCAGGGCAGCTGGAAGTCCTCGGGCTCCAGTGGACTGCAGTGAGTCTCCTCCACGTTCTTGAGGTGTTTGCGCGCCAGGAACAGTGCAAGCTGCCGGCGGCGGCGCCGGCTCAAGCCCTGGCCCACCAGCCACGGGAAGGGGAGCCCGTGCGGCCCCCAGGCCTGCCCGTCGTCCTGCTCGTCCTCGCAGCGCGCGCGGTAGGAGCGCAGCAGTGTCAGGCACCACTCGTCGTCCACGCGGTAGCGCGCATAGAGAGCGGCCTCCTGCGCCAGGCTGCTGGCGCGCAGCCAGCGAGCCACGACGGCGAGACCCTCACGGGCCATCACGGCGGGGTAGCGGTGCTGCAGCAGGCGCAGGAGCAGCTCGTTGCCGCGGTTGCCCTTCACGTCGCCGGACGCCAGGGGGCGCAGGGGGCCCGAGGTGCTGACTACTTCGTCCAGCGTGCGCCGGACCAGCAACACCGGCCCAGGGTAGCCGCACAGCTGCTCCGCGACATTGAGGTTGAAGTGTTCGCGCACGGTGCGCACCACCAGTCCCTTCCAGCTCTGGGGCATGACCTTCAGGGCCAGGGGCACAAGGTCGTCGAAGGTGGCATCCAGTACCAGCGCACCCAGTTCTGGGTAGGTCATGGCGGCCCAGGTGGCTGTGAAGCCGCCAATGGACCAACCATAGACCACCACGTGGGCGGGTGGGAAGTGCAGGCGGTGCAGCGCGTACTTGACCACAACGTCCATGGCGTTGGCATCGTGCTGGGGGAACGGCTCGCCGGTGCTGGCCCCGAAGCCGGGGTGGTTCCAGCCCAGCACCGAGTAGCCAGCCTCCAGCGGCGCGGACAGGCAGCCCATCTCATAGAATCCCGCGTTGCCTTCACAGCAGATGACCAGGTGCAGGCCGCGGTCCTGGCTGCCCGGGTGCTGGCGGCGATCCATGAACATGGTGTCGATCTCGTTGCCGTCACTGGCCACCAGCTTGGCTCGCCGGCCATGGTAGCGCTCCACGAGGCGCTCTTGGCCCTGCTGCAGCAGCGGCAGCAGCGCTCGGGTCATCAGGAATATGGAGCCGGGGTACACGAGCCAGCGGCCCAGCGAGTGGGCCAGCACGTAGCTGGCGAGCTGGCTGGGCAGCTCACGGATCTGCTGCAGGAGGCACTGCATCTGGCTGCGTGACCGGCGCAGCGGCCTCCCAGGCGCATCCGCACCCAGCGCAGCATCCTGGAGCAGCCACACGCCGGCCGCAGCCGCCGTGCACGTCAGCGCGCGGTGACCGCTGCCGCCCGTGCCGGGGGCGCGCACGTCATCCCAGCGGAAGTCCACCGGCCAGCTGCGGAAGTTGTCGGTGTAGTTGGCAGTCAGGTAGATCTTGAACACTTGCACCAGCGCCTTCACAAAGCAGACGACACACATGGGTGTCAAGGCTGCTACATGCTGGGCGCGAGCCCTGCTTAACGCGCAGTCGCAAGGCTGGGTGCAGGTGGGAGGGCCAGCCCAGCCCAGCCCAGCCCAGCTGCAAGGGCGAGCACGGCTCGGGCTGTGTTGGGACGCGCTCCTCTGGGCTTAGTCTTAATGGCCTTTATGACCTGGGCCTTCCACCTGCTCCAGCCACCTTTGTGAGTCACTGTTGCTGGGGGGAGAGGTGACACCCTGTGATGGGCTCACAAAGGGTTCCCAGTCATGGACCCTCAGGTTCTGCCCCACCCCTGGGACACAAGCCTTAGGACCGGGGAGGTGGCCACACCCTCCCCACGCCCTCCTTGCCTCTACCTGCACTGCCCCAGCTTCACCCACCTGCCACCCATACCTAGAGCAGCATCCACCCCCTCCTTAGACTGAAGGACAGGCAGGTGGGAAAGGAACAGCCTCCACCTCTCACAGACTGAGGCCCGAGTCTCCCTGGGGAAGACTCAGGGTTTGCTCTGGGACGGTCCCCCCACCTGGGGGGTGGGGGGGTACCCACACTGGTGGGGACAGGAGCTGGGCACAGGCTGGAGCCACTTCGGTGGCAGGCCGAGGGAGTCTGTGCAGAGACAGAGTGGTCTCCCGCAGAAGCTGGGGGCGGCAGTGCCCCGCCCAGACCCATGCATGGTGCCCTGGCCCCCAGTGCACCAAGCAGCCCAGGGAGTCTGGCACTGCCGGCTGGCGGGGCTGCTGCCGGGGCAGGGCTGCAGCCTGTGCTCCCAGTTGGGGTTGCGGGTCCCACCCCCCCACACCTTCCTCCTCAGGTCAGGGGAGGGCGCAGGCTGGAAACCCCCGCCTGTGCTGGATCCTCTTTCCATCTGCTCCTCGGAGCGGCGGCCCCTCTCCAGGTGGGTGCTTCCTGGCCAGTGTTCCTCATTTTCAGCTACTGGTCAAGCCCTCCACCCCTGAAACCACCCCACAAGCGATCCTTCCTCTTTTCTAGAGGGCTCCGGTGGGTTCCCCTTTTTCTCCACCAGGGAGGGCCACCCCACCTGGGGGCGAAGGTGGCAGGGTCGGCGGCCACAAGGGGAGCCGGGGAAGAGCCAGATAGGGGCTCACACGGGCATCGGGCAAAGCCAGCCAGACGCTGCCACCTGAGAGCCAGGCCTGCCTGCAAGACCCAGTCCTTTGGGGAGGGCTCCAGGGCCCTCTCTGCTCCCCTGTGTCTCCGGATCGGGCGGTCGGCCCGTCCGCCTGTGCCGGCGGTGGGAAGTGGAGCTGAGGACATTGCCGCCCCCAGGGGCTGGCGGGCAGGAGGGGTCCGGGGACAAGGCGAGTAGGTTGGGCCAGTTGACCGTCCCCCAGGGTTTCCGGATAAAATACAAAATACCCAGTTAAATTTGAATTCCAGATAAAGGACAAATGCTTGTTGAGTACAAGTATGTCCCAAATGTTGCATGGGACATACTGGATATCCTGTTTGTAGGTTTGTTTGTTGATTTTTGCTAAATCTGGCAACTCTGCCCCCTGCCCCCTCCCCCCCGCTGCTGAGATCCAGATTTTCCGGCCCAAGTTCCGGGGCGGGTGGCTCTGCTCCTTGGCCTGGTCCTGAGGACCCAGAGGAAGCTCAGGGTTCAGGGGCAACCTGGGCAGGGGCGCCCCTTCTGCCCCTCGGACCCACAACCATGTCGCCTCTTCACTGGGTCCTGAGGGGCGGTTGGGGGGCTACCTGAAGAGGGAACCCCCGGAGCACCGCACTTGGGGCCCAGGGGTGGGTGGAGGTGCCCGCAGGGATTGGCAGTCCTCCCCCTGAAATGCCCCCCTGGCCCCGCGGTTAGGGGAGGAGATGGGGGGCGGGGGCATTTACTTCCCCAGGGACCACTTCCATAAACCCAGCTTCTGGGGGAGGGGCCGTGCAGACCCAGAGGCTGCGGCTCCTTTGGTGAGGCCTGAGGGGTGACCCAGCAGAGCAGAGGGTCCACAGCCTGGATTCGGGCAGACACAGGGACACAGTGGGGGGGGGGGGGGCGCATCCTGGAGGACTGTCTGCACAGGGTGTGGGACACACCACATTTTGTTTCGATTCCCCAGAACTCTCGTCCCCCTGGGGCAACCCCCCATTCACCCAGGCCCACCTGCCCTAGGCTCCCCATCTGAGGGGCAGAGGTCAGCCAGCTGGAGCTGCTGGCTCCCTGGGGCCATTACCCTGTGTCTGGCCTGGCCCCTGACCCGCCCTCCGCAGCCCTACCCCCAGCCCACAGGAGCCCGAGTGCCCAGAGCCACCAGCTCTGCTGAGACAGGAAAGCATGTGACAGGAAGGGAGCCCTCTTCCCGCCATCCCCTCCAGAAGAGCCCCCCGGACTGGGCCAGCTGCAGTGACCTCTCGTGCCCCCCATCTGCTCCGGGAAGGCAGGGCTGCGTCCCCCTGTCGGTTCTCCGTTCCAGGAGGCAGCCCCCACGCCCCAGCATCCACAGGCAGCCCTCCCCATACGCACCCCACCCCCACAGAGCCTGCTGGGCGCTGTGACCTCTGCCCTTCTCCCCCGGGCTCCCACCCTCCCTCCCGCGAAGGCAGTGCAGCACTCCCTCCGGCCCGGCCCTGCTGCTCAGCCTCCCCAGGCCCTGATTTATGCTGCCGGCAGCAGAGCCAAGCTCGGGGAAGGCGGGGAGGGAGAGAGAGAAGACCAGTCCCGGAGGCTGGAGGGGCCGGGCCAGGGCCAGAGCCCCGGCAGGGGGTGTCCGGCCAGTGGGCTTGGCCCAGGGCTCTGGGAGCAGCATCCTGGGCCTGGGGAGGGGGAGCTGAGTCCGCACAAACGCCTCT